GCTTCCCCCAGATGCTTGGGAGGTGTTTCAGCTGCTTGTTGAGCACGTAGGGCATGCAAATATGGAGTGTCTCACTGAAACAGCCTGCTGTCTTACTGAAGCAAGCTTAAATTTTGAAGGTGTTGTGGTGAGAACTCAACTGGAGAAATACCTGCATGAAAGCTGTTGCAGGGTGAAGGACTTCTGCAGTTGTGGCTCATGTTTCTTACCGCTCCTCTGGTTCTGTAGCTGGGTAAACATCTGGGAAGATCTTGGCAGGTTCGGTTATCTCTGAAACGGAGATTTCACCTGCCGAATCTTAGATCTGCAGAGCTGAAATCCTCCCCCACACAGTGTTTTTAGCCCTCAGCTCTAGGGAGAGAGAGGTTGTGTTTCTGTTTGCTTCTTTGTAGCTAGGGAGGAGTCAACTGGGGAAGCGGTTGGTAGCGGTGGCTGAAATCCAGTGTGGCAAAACTCTTGCTTTCCCGCTGAATGCTGAAGGCTGATGGGGAGTGAGGTGAGTTACAGCTGCCAGAAGGGTGGAGCTAAGAGTCTCAACTCCAGTCTTACAGGTAAGATACTCAGCTTTGGTTAAAGTCAGCTTTAAAAATGGTGTCAGCCAAGTGCAGGTGGATCTGGAGGATGGTTGAATCTAGGAAGCCCAGATGTCCTTCCAGAAGGTTCCACAGAACTGCTGAAGTAGCCCATGGGACTGAAGTTCTTAGGTGTTTTTGGACCTGCCCTAGCAAACTTGTCTGGACCTTCGGGCATTTTAATAACTTTGGCAGTCCAACCATCACTTCATCTATTTTACCTCCTTGGCTTGAGTTTGTCCAAAATAATCACCTGGGCTGGCACCTGCTGAAGCAGAAGTTTGTCTGTTGACTTTACTGAGTGTTTCTCCAAGAAGGCAAAAATAGGTGAAGCGAGGGGAGGGAGGTCAGGGTGAGGGCAGAGGAGGAAAGTTCTCCGGTGTGTTAAGCCGTGAGTTGTGGATACATCAGCTGAGTCACAGCCGCAGTTTGGAGCAGAGGCTGCCCTTGCTGGGGCAGTGGGTTGGCACTTTGAGCTCCGCGTGTCAATGAGCCCTTCCGCGTGCTCAGGCTGTGCAAAAGTCCCAAGGGTTATTTTGGATAGTAAAACACTAGAATGAGTCTCCAGGAGGAATAGTGCCGAAGCTTGTATCAGTACTGCTTGAGCTGTCCCTTATGTGAGAAATCTCTTTTTAAATCACCAGCTTAACTTTTTTTCTGCAGAAGTAGCTTTCAGCTAAAAAACCTCCACCCTCAAGTATTCCCATATAAACCTGTTTGAAGTAAGGCCATTTCCAAAGTAGAAATTAGGTATTTTTCTTCTGCTGTGGTTTCCACTGTTTCATGGTCCAGAAGTAAAACAGAGAAGACACGAATTAAACAAAGTTTTGCCTGACGCTTGTCCAAGAGCAAGAAGGCTGGACAAGAGCAGTTCTCTCGTCCCACTGGCTGATGGGGCGGCAGCGTTCTTCCCGTGCAGGTCTGACTCCGTGCTCTCACAGAGCGAATGTCTGGGATGGGCGCTTGCAATGAGTGTGGATGTAGTGATTCATATTTCATAGATGTCTGAAAAAGACGCCTCCGGAACACCTGTGAGCTTAATGAGCCTTGCAGAGGGTGGGAGTGCATGCATTTCAGTAAATCTGAAGAAGATAAATTAGATAAGGCCTGTAAAAGACCATTTGGATCATATGTCCTCTCATGAAACAGGTTTGATTCCTGCAGTGGGAATGCTAATTTTTTTTTCTATAAGAAGTGCCTAAGATTTGGAGAAAATAGGGGCTTATGTTTACTGATGTCTGTTCTTAGAGTCTTCTTTGTGTCACTCAACAGCATCCAGAAGAGACAAATTTTGCCTTGGTAGCATAGCCTTTTCCCCAGTTTGAACGTCACGTTTTCTTTAGTGAAAGGAAAAAACTTAGTTTTTTCTTTTGATCGACATTGATAACATCTGCAAGGGCTTGTTTTGTTTTGTTTGTTTTTTTAGTCTTGATAGACAAAAATGTGGTTGATTTTAAACCTATGCTTACTGTATTTTTGCTGGAGTATTAGGAGCATCTTATTATCATTACTCATACAGGACCACAGAGATACTTGGTGCTTTGTGGATTTAAAAAGCCTTCTGCTGATGGTGCTTCCAGGCTGTGAGATGCTTGTTCTTAGTGTGCACCAGTTCTCCTGGTTTCTCTGTGCCTGTTCCAGCACAGGAGGCACGAGCAAGGACGTTTAGTTCTCTGCTACACAAGAATATGGAAGCATCTAGTGAAGTTCAAAGACAGCAGGCTTAAAACTCATGACAGACAATAAATACCTGCTCAGAAGTGGGGAACTGGGTGTGTGACAGTGCTGAAACGAAATATCGTATGTATGTGACAAGAGTATCTGGAGAAGTTGTAATTAATGCTGATAAGCTTCAGAAAGGAGCTACTTGTTCTTTGAGTAGCTCGTAAATAGTACAGATTGGGATGAGATTTACTGAATGGATCAGACTACCGCAGATCTCGCTGCGTTTCACTTGAATGAAGCAGCTCGTGCTAGCCACTGTGACGGACGAGAGTGGTGGTATTGCTGGATTTCAGGTCTCATCCTTGGTGGAAGCCCTGATGGCTGTGGTATCTGAAGGTCACATCTTCTCCGTTGCAGATCCTGTGCTGGCTAGGAAGGCTTATTTATTGATTTACAGCTCTGGGAGAGGGGGATGCGAATGCAGGGGGGAGATTACTGATCTA